AAAGCTATTCGGAAACCAAGAAAACTTTTTATAACCCTAACCTTATTTCCCTCTTTCAAGTAGAAAATGTAAGGAAGACGTGAGTTGCTTAAAATCATCGAAAAGAATCATATTACTTGCCGAGTGTGGTTTTCATGGGCGGTGGAAAGCAAGTTTACTCAAAAGCTGATATCCTGGTGTGGCCATCATCAATATTATGGCCCCACCGAAGTAATCATGCCCAATCACAATGTACGTCAGAACTACGGTTAAAATATCACGAGATCGGCCACTGGCTACAGTTCCTACCTAGACTTTCACGCGGGGGCAGCAAACTGAGGTCTTTTTACAAGTGTTTTTGAGAAAAAAAAACTAAGGCTGACTGGAATGACATTTCGCTGCTTTATCCTCCTCTGGCAGGGAAGATCGAGGTCGCGAAGGTAATTGTTAGAAATCACGACAAATTCGTGACTGTGCATTGGTAGACAGTCCAAAAGCTTTTTTGCCAAGAAACAAGGGCCCTTTAAAATGCTGTCATTTCTAACTTCCTTTAGGGACAAAATAACCAACTCTCAAAAATTGGGGTGCCAAGAACGGCACAGGGGAGGGAGGACGCGTAAATGCAAAAAACCACACTGGCCAAGGTGTGGGCACCAACCGCGATCATTAAAATCGACAGTTGGAAGCTACGAGCCCATGATTAATGACCTTACAGTTTACCACGTAAAAGGCCTCGATAGGAGGGTGACGGAAGGCGCAGAATTAGTAAAATGCTCAAAATTAAAGGTAGATTTAGAAGTACACCTATCTTTTCCTATACTAATTAATATAAAGCTCAGATGCGCCCTAATCCGGCTAACTGTGCAGTGAAACTTTTACTTGTGTCCTTAAGTATGCAGAGTCGATCATCTACCGGCTTCTTCGTGCCTATAAAAAGTGACTCTCAACGGCGGTCGTTGAAGCTACCAGATCGATATACACTGAAAATTGTTGAAGTCAGTTTCCTGGTCCGTAGAATAGACCTCGTTGGGCGTGATAATAATTATCCAACTCTAGCGACTTTCTGTGTAATGCTCGCTCATATCTACAACACAGAGGAGGATATACACCCTCAAAAGCCCGATATTCTCGAATCGCATGAGCAGATCAAGGATGAAAATTCGAGAGCAGTCTAGGCTTGAAAGACGATTATTTTTAGGTTGGCACAGTTGTGTGCCGCTTATTTTTCTCGTCCTAATCTTCTTTATCGTGTAAGTTTTTTCCAATAAAACTCAGTTTTTCTCTCAAAGATTCTTAACTGTAACCTTTCTCCTTGCAGTAAATATCGAAACTCCTTGGGTTTGACCTCCGATATTATCGACTTGATCAACGGGTGACCATTGCCAGCTGCTTGTCCCCAATCTAGTCAGCTGACAAGCATTTTTCCATGACACGGATCAACTGCTATGCAGGCGTTGACCTCGTGCATTTTCAATCTGCGAAGCGTCCCATTCAGCGTCAGCTGATAAAACCAGAACTAGCTCAACTTTTGCCCAAAAACATGACCGCCAAGCGATCAAACATGACCGACCCTACCGGGATAAGAAACCTAAGCTTCCCAAGCATACAGATCAACGTAAGTCTTCCAAGTCGGGGATGGGGGGTGGAAGGCCACACTGCGAAAGCATCCGTTTAAACAATAAAAGTAGGCAACGGGACACAGGCGCAATTACGGGCAAAAAACTCGTAAAAAGAGAACCAACGCAACTAAATTTATCATCCGATTTCACGAAAAGGTACCATGTACCCGGAGGTGTCGTTGGCAGAGACGGCAGTTGGCCTTATGGCAGCAGTGAATGCGTGCATGTGGTCGTCCCAGCTAATCGACTGAGGTCACAGAAAAGGTGTGCTTCGTGGTCATTCAACCATCTGGCTCGCACA